GGGGGGGGGGGGGGGGGGGGGGGACGAGGTGAGGTATGCAAGAACGAGAGACAGAAAGTGCGGCGACCGAGGAAACGAGGAAAACGGAGTAAGTTTTTCTTGCGTAATTAGCCGCTCGGCGTAAAGAGAACCTTCGGATAAGCGGCGGAGAGAGAGAGGGAGAGAGAGAGACGATTCTTCCGGGGATAGGCAGAGAAAATAATTAACCTTACCGTTTTTCGTTTTGCGAAAAGGAGCCGGATCTCGCGCGACTCTCGTGCCGGCTTTTAAACGCTGTAATAAAAGAAACGGAACCCCATCGCATCCTCGGCGAAACGGGAGAAGGCGCTTCTCTTCTCTCACTCCCCCCTCTCTCTCTCTCTCTCTTTCTCTCTCACTATCTCTATCTCTCTCTTTCTTCCCCTTGCCTCTATTTTCGTTTTTTCGTCGAAGGTAGAGCGTACTAGGAGCGTCGGTGAAGCGCCCAAGTGGAATTTAATTCGACAAAACAGCCACGCATACCAACCCCGAGGAATCCGAGTCGCCGGCGATTTTCAGCGAGTACATTTTTAAGGAGTAATATACGAGCGAACAAGGATGGGGAGATAAATGCGGACGAGAATCGTGAATATCCGTTGTTGCGCGGATTATTTCTTCCCCGAGCGACGTCTTCTCTTAAGATCGGATTATACGAGGAGAAAAAAATTTAATATAATGTACAAACTTAATTATAAATTCAGGTAAAATGTAACATGAAGTCATTGAAAGAACGATTTGGAAATTAAGGATACCCAAGGGGCGAGTTTACAGTATTGCGGATATGAACCTTCGGCAGTTGACGAGAGGTCTTTCCTAATTGTCTCGTGGCTGAGACGTTCTGAATTTCGTAGTTGGCCGATGATAATAAGAGAGAACGGTGTCGTTTGCAACAAAATGTATTTTTTTAGATCGTATCTTCTTCATTATTAATCAGAGAATAACCCAGTTTACGTGACATTAAGTGATCCTTTAGTTTTATAACAACTGATATTAATAAAATTCAAAGTTATTTGAGCAAGAAGACAGTGAGGAATTAACAACAACGTGGCCAGGCGTTTTAATTCAATGTTGCGATATCAGAAGCTCTATTTTCGTATTAATAACAATACAAAGTGCTAACTTTGGCTTCAATTATTTCAATCCTTCTCTAGTTTTACATACATGCAGCTCGTATTCTTTTCAATTAATATATTGTTGAAATTTGAAAAGACTCCTAAGAAAATTAATTTATAGACCGACTATTTGACAAATCTCGTACTCACACCCTCTGTCATCGGGACATATCCGACTGTAAATTCATTCTTAGCGGATTTAGAGGATATAAAATTCAAAATCACGCTCTTTCCTCGATATTACACATTATCTTACCCGATGCGTTATACCGGTCGATAACGTTTCCATCGCAGAATGTACAAAATTCATGAGGCAGGCGAACATAATGATACCGAGCCTCTATATTTGGTTCCGACGAACTGTCGGTTTGAATTTGACTTTAAAATAATTTCTGGGGTAGCATTGCGGTCTCTCGGATAGACATACGGGGTGATATTTAATTCATGACTATTCACCAAACAGCGCGGCAGTTGGGAAGTTTAGCGACCAGTTTCGAGTTTATATACGCGAGCGGGAGCGAGGCGAAAGTCAAAGTGGAACGTTTCGTGCGGAAGAACAGTCTCAAAGAGAGAACTGCGTGTAATGTGCGACTTTGCCACGGATTGCACAAAAGTGCCTGCAGCGACGCGGCATTGACAGATACACACATAAAGAGAGAGAGAGAGAGAGAGAGAGAGTCTGAGTCCACTTCGATTCTATTTCCATTCGTATGGACGGAGCAAAGACGCTTGAAGCGTCGATGGGATATTACTCTATTGTTAATTCAATCGATATGATCGCGATTATTGACTCCGTGAAAAGGGGGAATCTGAGAAAGAATTTACGGAACCTTTTAGGAACCAGAGCATGGATTTTATATATATATATATATACCAGAGCATGGATTTTATATATATATACCAGAGCATGGATTTTATATATATATATATATATATATAAAATCCATGCTCTGGTTCCTAAAAGGTTCCGTAAATTCTTTATATATATATATTCTTTATATAAATTCTTTATATATATATATATAGCGCCATTAAATATTAATATTGTCAATATTAATATTTTTGTAGGTTTCATATGATGCTTGAATGTATATACTCCGAAAGAAGGATTTGCTACTTTTGAAAGAACTGCCACTAAATACATAGGTAAATAAATAGTGTGGATCAAACCTCCAAATTCCTGTTACGAAATAATTCGATTGGATACGATCACTTTATCAAACCTCCCCGATTGTAACGACCATATCTTCTCTCACGTCACATCGTGCTCGTTAAAAGGATGATATCTGGACGAGACTGGAAGAAACTTTTCAGACTTTTATCGTCGTCGTCCTTTTATTCGGGAACAACTGATTTCACCACCGCGATACACGATTCCGGTTCTTCTCCCCGGCGCGAAATTCATTTTACGCCCGCGGCGGAGCGCCGGTACCGCGGATTGTCGTTGAAGCTCGTAATTAGGAACCTCATCGTCTCTCTCTCTCTCTCTCTTGCAACGCAATCGTGCCGCGGAGTGTTCTCGTTTCTTTCTCCCCGCTGGCCACAGCGCGGTAAGAAAGGGCGTCCACCGGTAAGATCGGCGCGTGACCAGGGTTTCGCAGAGCATGTCGCCGAGCTGAAACGTGGGGTTGGGGGGGGGGAGGGCTTTTCAACCCGAAACCCGGGCGCCGACATCGACCACCTCGACTTCGCCGGTCACGCCGCGTTTTGTCTCCGATTCCAGCGAGAGCATTCCGGAGTTATGAAACCCCCGAGACAGAGGAACTCCGTATTCTTTCCGAACGGTGATTCAATATCTTTTCGCGGCCGGGGGAAGGCGGCCGTGTCGTATGAAAGCGGTGGAGGAAACGGGTGAAAAAGAGAGGCGGCGTGTGGTGAGAAGGAGAAAGAGCGAGGGAAGGCCGGAGGGAGGAAGGGTGGGTGGACGGATGGGGGAAGTGAGAATTGGATTTTCGCGTCTCCCTAAAGCTGACGTGATATTATCCATCGAGGGGGCGGGCACTCCGGAGTTACTAGGATCAGCTGCTAAGTCCCTCTACGACGCGCGAGTTATTGCTATAGTGGTACAAAATGATTTCTCGACGGGAGATGTATGGACCGCGATCTACCCCTACGGTATTACGGCGCCTCGTGCTGCTGTAGCTCTTTCTCCCTCGCGCGCGCGCAGCGGCGCGTGGATTAGTGTTGCAAATACTCGCGAGGAAAGAAAGCGGCCGAAGGTGCGGGGCCGAGGTTGAACCGTTGCCGAATCGTGTATTACTTTCCGAGTATATGAACCAGCGAAAAGAAACCGCGGGAGCGCGCGCACGGGGGAGAGGGGGGTGCGCAATGAAATATGCCGTTTGAGGAAACAAAGCGTACGTTTTACCCGAAGTTCGACGGTAAAATGTAGGTCGTCCGCCGAACGTTACGACCGAGAGAGAGAGGGAGAGAGAGAGAGAGATCTTAACTTTATTTGGATTATTTCCGTATTACTTCCAGTTACTCGTCATAACTCCAAGAAGCAAATCCAGAACCAGAGAAATTCATTACCCACGTAGAGACGCGGCGCATTGTACCAAATTGAAGATACGTATTACTCGCCGAGGTGGCTGACGCTTTAATGGATGCGAGAGGAGCCGCGATGTTACCTACTTCACTTGAAGATGTAATTGGGAATAGTTATAGAAACGCGAAGTGAATTAACATCTTAAGGAGCGAAGAACGAGCGGGAAAGTCGAATATTGACCCGCTTCGCGTCGCCCGTATCGGAACGCTGGTATATTCTTATCAATCGCGAGCGCTTTTCATTTCTATCAACAGTCCTCTCGGCTTTCAATTCCCTCCCCGACATAATGCGAGAAGCGCGAAGGTAAAATTTCATACAACGCGCCCTCCCCTCGGTCTGCCGCCGCGGCGGATTGTTTTAATCAGATCATCAGTTTGCCAGACAGCGAAAGTCGCCGGCACGGCGTTAGGCAATTAAACCGTGCAAATTAGCAATAACGAGAGACGGAGAAAGAGAGAGAGAGAGAGAAAGAGAGAGAGTCAACGGTAACATCAGATGGTTCCGGCTGGCCGGAAGCAACGCGGAGCGCGTGTCGTTACCGGCGCAATTATGGTGTCTTTCGCCCCTCGATAGGATTAGAAATCCAGCCCGGTCGGGCTTATACCGCGTGACTATTAACCGACTTGCAAATTGCCCTTATCCAGTTTCTCCGTTAAACGTTCACGCCGGGGCCGATTTTCATGTTTTTCGCTGTGAGGCGGCGCTCGAATTCATGCTGCGCTTCATCTGGCGGCGCCATTCAAATTTCAATTATTTAACCCTTTGCACTCCGCTGTCGCCGTAGCGGCGACATGGTTGTTTTGCTGCCTCGGCACTTTAAGAAATTTTAAGTCCTAAAATTTATGTTTTTCTTTTATAATATAAGTTAGAATATGTTTTGTTATAAAATAGCTAAGAAATAAAAATTTTGTTTTATTGAAACGACTCTATTTTTCTTCTACATCATAGGTATGTACTTGGAACTAATAGCCTCTATGCATTACTAGGCTGGAGTGCAAAGGGTTAAATTTTCAACTATACGGCAATTTTTTCCAGTTACTAAACGAACTATATTTTTGATGGTGAGCGGCGTCTAAACGAATGTTCAAGCGTGACCCACCGGTGATGCACGCCGCCCGATGGCTCAGTATCGTGTGACCCACCGGTGATGCACGCCGCCAGATGGGACAGTCGAGCGTGACCCACCGGTGATGCACGCCGGCGTGAACGTGTTAAATACGTACGCTTACTATAGAATGCAGTTAGCATCTATACGTTATTTAAATTTGTGGTTCCCGTTCGAACATCGTGTACATATATTTATAAAGTTACTCACCCGATGACATCGTTCTTGCTTCCTCTCGCCGATTGCTTCTCGCCAACTGCTTCCTGTCTCCGTGTGGTTCCTCGCTCTGTCTCCCTCCCGTCCCCCTCCAACTCCTTCCTTTCTCTGCATCTTCTTTCTCACTTCGCCTTCTTCCTCGTTCGAACTGCTTCCACTCTCCGCATATTTCCAAACGTTTCCAACGTTCACTCACGTGCATATCACGGTAGATTATATAAAAAAAACGCACTTATACGATATCGGCGGTCTCCCGGTTTGTTTCGACACTTCCGAACCTCGTAGTATATCGTTACGAAAACTCGAGAAACGGTTAGTCCCGATACGCGGCCAGCTTTGGGCTGTTACGCGAGCGTACTCGACAGGTAATTACTGCCGGCTAATTACCACGTTACACTTTAATTAATGCGGTATTTCGTTCGACACTACCGATACTGCGGCACGCGATTAAACCGACGTCGTACTGCGGACGAGTACGTAAAGGGGAGCGCGTCTTTTCACGAGTCGGCCATTTCAATAGAGTGCGTCGACGTCACAACATGGCGTACACACTGAACGTGTACGAACCTGCATGATGGATGTACGATCACGACCGATCCACGAATACCAGTCGGCGTCAATCCCTGGTAGTGATTAGAGACGGACTGATCTTTCCGAGACGCCGAACTGACACGAAGTGCCGGCCGGCGTAAGTGGATCGCGCGAATCAAAACAAATAACCATAAACAATAAACAAGCGCGCGTCGGCAAGTAACGAACCAGACTGTTTTACCGTCCTGCATGCACACACACAAGCGCGATAGTGTTTTCGTTCATCTGCAATGACAAAGAGGTATAGATCGGTCACAGAAAGATTGCGACATTTCTTTGGGCGAGTTTCCAAATGCATGTCCAATGGGAGAATTTATTTTTTAGTAATTCTCAAGAGATTAATTTTCTTGTCAGGTACGAAATGTGTTGCGAGACTCGCAGGAAGAAAGTGTTGCAAGCTTTCTGACTATACGTATAATATATCGATCAAAAAGAGATACTGTATAATCACTTTGTTGGTCCGGAACAGCAGAAAATTCCTTGACCAAGTGTGTAAATGCGTGTGTGTGTTATACTGACGCGCCAACACCGTAGCGTAGCATGCATTGCGAACGAATGACTAACGTGAAGTGCTCCATTTAACGAACAGTCCGCTTCGATTATCGCAGGCGCGAAGTCATGGCGTACACACAGCATCGCACGTATTCACGCGTTACGGTTTATTGACGAATTTCAGTCGACGTGTCCGATTTCCCGCGACGACAAACGCGAAGTACACAATCTCGTGGAATTAACGCGAAGTGCCGGAGGTGAATGTCAAGTGACTGCGTGAATCGAAACGAGAAACGGAGTGTGTTGCAAGTATCGGGTCGGACCGTTACCATGTTCTGATGTAAAAGATCATCGCATAGGAATAGGACCGTGGCTGGCTGGATTGACGAGAAATTCAAGCTAAATCGCATTATTTCACGGTATTTATACACTGTCGAAAATGCATTGGTCGAATACGTTTCATCGGTCAAACGCGTATTAAGGAAAATACTTGAAATAATAATGTTACATTCATACTACTGCGAGATTATATTACAATTTTCAATTTTACGTACATGGTCGAAAATCGCAGTCAATGTATGATAAGGTTAAAAATATACACATAAAAATATGCATAGTATATCAAAAAATGAAATATTTTTTTATTACAAGAAATTCGACCAAATCATTTCAACTTATTGTAATTTCATATGATACTCTAGTAACAATAAGTTTTGCTGACCTTATTGATGCAATTTTATGCGTATACCTGGTTATATTATTTATTATATTACGTTACGTTTTTAATAAGTACGTTATTACATTTGTGCTCATAATATGAATCATTGCAATTTATTAAGTATTTGCTTGCTGTAATGCAAACGGTGCCAACGCGTTCATTTAAATTCATGGTTCCTGTTCGGACATGTTCTCGCGAGTTAAAACACTCAGGCCCGACCATGAGAAATAAGATACCCGGAGCAAAAACCGGCTAGTAAAGCTGCTCCGTTGGCGAACGGGAGTAGAGCCTTTGATCCTTTTCGTCGGCTGCAATTTAAAGAGGAGCAATTGATAGCACACCAAGGCCAGGACTGATTCGCTCTTATCACGAGNCTCTTATCATGAAAACCACCCTCTTATCGATCACTCGCTCGTATATAACCGCGCATATCTGCTCAGCGACCGCTTTCGACTATCGACTTGTCCGAAGAAAACTGTGCCCGCGTTTCGAGAGGCGGACATTGTAGTAATTTACCTCGCAATTATCCATTCCAGTATTTTATCGTTGGAAATTATCTCGCTTTAATTTGCATACGGGCGCGTTTGCTTTATGCGGTTATCCGCCTTGCGAGTTATTCCCGAAGAGGTGTCGATCCGTAGCGCGGTTTTATCTCGCGGCTGATTTGCAATTGACTTTTCTTGACGGGAGTTTAATTTGCGACTTAATTATCGCCGGCTTTAGTGTGGAAATGTGCGATCGAAATTAATGCGAACCGACCAGACTGATAACGAACGAACGCCGTGTGCAAGCGAACACGTCTCTTTTCAGTGTACTTACATTGCGAGATATCGGCTTTGCTGTACCGCGACGACGCGTTCGCGAGCATGAATTACGTCTACTCTCTCTGATTGGTTATAGCCGTTCAATTTCCTACGGTAAATAGCTGGATAATTAAGTCGCGGATTAAATTTCCATCGAGACGTCATTAAACATGAATCAATTAAGTGTTGATCCGACAAGATGCTCCCGGTGACGCGATCGCAATTTTCAGTAATATTCCGTAAAAAATCTGGAGCTAGAAATATCAACTTTTATACTGTTTAAACGAGCGGCGACGGGGCGGCGATACGAGGAACGCTCGCTCGTTCGGCAACGCGCGCTGGCGATATCCGGTCGCGATTAGTCGACTTCTGTACCGGGGCCAAGCTAGATGGATAGGATAATCCGATAATTCCATTACTCCCCCGCATTGTAATGCCATAAAGTTTCGCCTTAAACCGCCGACCGCCATCAGCGGCGACCTCGGCCTGTCGCGCCGCTCGTTCCGCCGAAAATTACGTTTCGTCGCGCACGGAGATCAGCGCGTGCGTGCATGCGCGCGTGCGTGTGTCGTCGGTTTTGTCCTTCGTGAACCCATCTCTCGCCCCATCATCTTCATCATTTTTTTCGTTACGCCCGGGAACAGGTGATGAGTCCGATTAACGCACGGCCGACCCGTAACATCCATAATAACGCAAATGTGTTTCGACGTTTCATTAAACCGCGCCTCGCTCGTGGAACTTCGCGCGCCCGGCCGATGATCACTCATGTTGCTTCCCTTCCGTTTCCCCTTAACGCCGAGCGACGGGTACTTTTACGAAACAATGTCCACCTGACCCGCGGCTTGCTCCATTACCGGGACGGCCGCTACAACTTATCGCAAGGAAATGAAGAGCTCCTCTCTCATTTTGCTCGTCCCCACGGCAAACGGGTCGACTCGCATTCCCCCTCGCCGATAACGAGACGGGTTTGTGACTACGCGCTGACTTGACAACCGCTGCGCACTGAGGAAGGAATTCGGCAATGAGTACTGAAATTCGATGAATATCTGCCGGCAGAATACGCGATCATCATTGCAACCAAATAATTTCATTCCATATACTGTATATACACGATACGGTAGTTTCGTATATTGCATAGTTAGTACGCGGAATGAAATTATTTGCTTGCAGCGACCGAATACTCGGTAGGCCTTTGCAGGGCCCGGGCCTACCCTCTTTTCTCGTATACGCTTGTGGTGCGCGCGCGGATTATACGCAAGTATATGGGACGTGTACAGTTTAACGCCGATGTCCGAACGGCGGATTATTCTGGGAGTGAGGTTTTCGTGGCGAAGATATTCTCTCTCGGCGGTTTGCCAGTCCATCGGAGAGGAGGCACGAGTATATATGAAAATATTTTCTATTTCTACCGGAAGGCGAACCCGGGACTGCTGGTATACAGCAGACCAGCGTACTGTCTGCCATCTACACCACGCACGTGCTCTTTAGTATTCCTTGCAAAATCCTTTCTTCAGCGTGGGGCCAAGATAGCGAATGCAATTTCGCGACTTTCTCGTTAACAAAAAAGACGCTAAATTTCCTAATCGCTCTGCAACGCCCGCCCCGATGATCCGAAGGTATCGGAGAGGGAGTCGATCGACAATCTACTTAGCCGTGGGTCACGAGTGCCCGATCCTGATTTATGATCGAAGCTAGCCGGTGGACTTGGATGAGGCTTTCCGACCTAATTTACGATTAAGTCGGCGCCATTGTATGTACGTGGCCTATTCCCAAGTGTATCGCCCGCGACAAAACGCGCTGCCGGTACCATTGAACTCTCCCGGATCCGCCCTCCCGTGCCAGGTGTACCTGTTTCCTGTTTATTCTGCGCTCGCTTCGTCGCAGGCATCTACGAGGGGAGGGGGTTCTAACTCCGAGAGAGTCGCGGAATACCCGACAGCTTCGGCATTCGCAATGCTGCACCAGTCCGGGATCAAGCTCGCCTCCTTCGGGCGAATTCAATCCGAAGCCAACTCGGTAACTCGTTCCCGGCAATCCTGCCTCTGCTTTGTCGCGAGCGTCGCAATTTCTCCCTTGTTAGGCGCCGCAACTCAACGAAGAAGTCGGGCGTAAGTTTTCGGCCGCTTATCGAGCTACTCTTGCCGAATTTCACGCGAAGAGAGAGAGAGAGAGAGAGAGAGCCCCGCGCCGCTAAGGTGCGAGACCCTCGACGGCACGCTCGCAAGTTGCGATTCGCAATGTACGGTGAGAAATTGCGGCAAAAGGACGGGAAATATAAGAATTCCAGTGCATCTTAATGCAACCCAAGTCAAGTGGTTTTTACATAAATCTTCATTTCATTTTTCTCTACATTTATTGCTTTTACGTTCGGAATGTGATATTATTAGAAGGTGATTCGTTACGTGTAACACCGTTGAAATGACTACTGATGAAGTAAGAAGTTACTTTTAGGCACATAAACTCAACGAACGTAGCTATATATTGTAAAAGAGGCACAGACGTATGGAAGATTCCGGCTGAAAACGAGAGCATGCTCGCGAATATAAATAATAATTGGACGCGATACGGCGGAATAATAAAAATACACGTAATACGTATAAATTAATTAAATGTAAATATCCTCCTCCCCCGTCACCGATCCGGCTGGCGGAGTTTTCACAGCGTCCGCATGAGGAGCATCGAGAATCGCATTCGCGAAAATTACACCGATTTTAATCCGCACCGGCGATGCGGTGTTTACCCGTTTCGCGCGCGACGCCTATATCGATCGCGCTCGCTCGCTCGCGGCCGCGCGAAATTACATTTCGTTGTAAGCTACGCTGCCTGTAGCATGTAACGCGAGAGCGGGCGTCATTACGCT